ATGTTCCCAATCCCGGGAGCTGGGCTGCCCGCCGGGGCCGCGCGGAGCCGCGTTCCCACCGCCCGCCGGGGCCCTGCGGCTGTGCGTGGCCTATCGTGCCGTCCTATCTGGATATATCGCCCTAAAAACCCTTTTGATTAGGCTCATTGCGTGAGAGAAGCTGTGATTTAATATTTTAGAGCAGATAACATATTGCTGCACAAAATAATTACACGTTACATGAGTTTCAGAGCACTTATCCGAGTTTTTATGTGCAGTGCAATGATGTTCCATAATACACTTTATTAGAAGACTAAATATAGGTAATTAGAATTTAAATAGAGAATGCATATGTCATGTTTTTTTTGGGCATGCAAACTAGAATTTTATGAGTTGGGCTACATCTTCTTTCTAATGGATTTGTTCTTAGCAAAAAAAAAAGGCACGCAGTTGCTGGCCATGTTGTCTTCTATTTACTGATTTCCCTACTGAGTATCAATGCAAGTTACAGCTTGGAGGATCATCTTTCTCTTCAGTTTGTCCATATAGATGCATGCAAAAATCATAATAAAAAATTACGTTTCTCCCCCTATATTTTCACCCTGACTTGGCTCTGCTTCCCCCATGCTGATAGCCACAGGAGATACTTCTGGAGATAGTCGAGGGTCTTGGTGAAGCCCCCAGGTTTGTTTTGGTTTTACTGTGGTGTTCGTGGCAGAGTTCCGAGCTCCCTGCACCCGCGCTGTTCTCGTCGCAGTGCTGCAAGTGGTGACAGGAGAAAAGGCAAGAGGCTTCACGCGCTGCTGTCGTTGCAGGATGAATCCTCGAGCCATGAGTGCAGCCAGCGCACGATCCTTCTGTATGGGCTTGGCAAAGAGCGTGATGAAGTGAGGCATCAGCTGAAGAGGATCACCAAGGATATCCTGAAGGTTCTGAATAAGAAGAGCATGACGGAAACAGGTGGTAAGCGCTGCCGCAGGGCGCTCTGCGGGGCCGCTCGTGGCGTTGCGGGCGCGCATGTTCCCCGGGCAGGTTGGCTGTCAGCCCGTCACCGTGGATGGGCCCAACGTGGGCCAGGTGCTGGGGCGGGAAGGTGCCGCGGGCACAAACCCCGTCCACGTGGGCACAAACCCCGTCCGTGTCCACGTGGGCACGAACCCTGGCATGCAGGTGCAAACCCCGTCCGTGTCCACATCCACACAAACCCCGTCCATGTGGGTGCAAACTCCGTCCGCGTCAACGGGCTGCTCGACTTGGCCGTGCAGGTAGAGCAGAGCACGGCGGCGGGGCACGGGGTGGAGCTGGCACGAGCTCGGCCCGCTCGAGCGCTTCTCTCTTCTGCTTTCC